TCATCCAATAAGACAAAAAGAAGTCGTTGCCACTAACTAGAGGTGTGTTCAATCCTGTCTTTGTCCATGTGATATTTGGTGTTGGGCATCCTGTGGCAGTGCAGTTCAGTACCAAGGCGGTTCCTTCCACCATCGTTATAGGATCGCGTGATGGGACAACACTGATATTAGCAGGAACTGGATCAAAAGAATTACAAGAAAAAGACGTCAAATCCATTTTAATGTTTAAAAACACATATTTATAATCTCCACCATCAAAGCACTTCTATTTGCAGTTATTTTAGCATGATTTATATTATTCCTCTTGTCGGTATTTGCACGAACTTTCAGCTTGACTTTCCTTTTTATTTTTTTCTTACCTTTTATTGTCAGGTTGATTTTTGCCTCTTGTTTTCCGTACTGGTTTCTAGCAGCGCATGAATATTCTTCCAAGTTACATCCATCAATACTTTTTATCACGTGACTAGCAGCATCTGCTCCTGCGCATGTCTTATCATAGTAGCTTTGAATAACAGTGTTGCCATGGTAAAACGTCACGTTGCACAATTGTGGTTTTGATGTTGACGAGCAGGACAAATTCAAACTGTCTCCCTTGAGGAAAGTGTTGTCGCTTCTATTGGTTGATATGGTGGTATTTTCAGGTTTATCTTAAGACATGGAGTATTATCAGAAAAAATGTATATTAGTTGTAATTGCAAAGATGTAATTATTAATATAACAATAATAACAATAATAATGATAATAATAATAATAATAATAATAATAATGAAAATAATGATTTATATAGCGTTCATTATTTTGAAAATGATTGTTAATTTATTAATGAAATACAACACTATAGCTCAATAAATTTGGAGCAATGCTTTCACAATAGTAAAATCAATACTTATACAACAATATATCATATGCCTTCTTAAAAAGCCTGTTCTTGAGATCTTTCTTAAAAGCACCGATACATAGGCTGGACCTAATGATCATTGGCAGGGAAATTAATTGGCTCGTATTTTCTTGTAAACATATATAACTAGTGTGAGACGTTACTAGTGCTTGTGTCATTAGACGCTCTGCTTTGTTCCCTCCCCCCCCCCCCCCCCCCCCCCCCCCCATTTAAGGTTTTAGGATCTCTTTGAGCTTAAAGCAAACAATATCTACCTCAATACTTACAGTCCACAGTAAGGTAAGCATCAGCTTCAGCTCGTGGACATTCGTCTCCATTCTTGACTGTTACCACGACACGACCTTCATCAGTTCGATTTACCTTCTGTAAATAGATTGCCCGTCCATTCAGAGCCTCCACGAACTGACCAGACGTATTCCAGTACACGTTAAGAGGTCCAGTACCATTGATAGTGATTGTAAAATTGACATCAGAACCTTCGGTTACAGTCATGTTTTGTGGTAGAACGATTATGGTTGGTGGACCTGAGATCATTAGTGCTTACATATTAGAAATACTTTGTCTTAGCGTGCTTTGTGGGAGCGCTGACTGAGCAGTACAAAATCGTAAATACTGTTAACAATTGCTGGTCCATTTTCCCTAATATAAATAATGCTAGTGCAGCAAAGGTGGTGTGCGCGCTTTTGATTGGTTAAGAACTATGATATATCGGTGAACAGAGAATACAGCATCAGGAAGCACCGACAGCACTCTTTACATTTCTGCCGTACGTTTATTACTTTCTGCATGCTGTATTACTAAATGGACCAGCCAAAACCTGTTTTATTTCAAAATAATTCTATTTAACGCACCCTTAGTCTGAATGACAACTGTCGCATTCTGTCCAGMTCCAACAGTGTTCTTTGGTTCACACTTGTATGTGTTATTGCCTGCTTGTGGAACATTCAACTGATAGACTCCAGACATGCTGGT